GTATGAAACAGAGTATACATGACGTGGCACATCCAAAAGACGACGTTAAAAACGAGCACACCTCCCATAAAGAAGCATGGAATACCGAGCCCGCGACAGGATGCCATTAGCCGCATATCGAGGAGCCGTCTGGTGGCGCCGCTTGCAACCAATGAGAGGAGAGGACTTTATCTGGCATCTGCGACGTGCGCGGTGGCCACATTTCTACGCAACGCTAGTTGCCTTTGTATCTGCTCACTGTTCGAACGCGTCCGAACGCGAGCGCCGGACGCCAGCGTTTGCTGTTTGAACGCGTTCGAAGAGAGATTAGAGACAAAGGAGCTTTGCGTCTACCATCTAATCCTTCTAGCCAGAGCTCAACGTTCTGACGTCCCCGCGCGCTGTCGTCTCCTCCTCTCCCTCGGTTTCTATCAGTATGAACATTTAACTCAATCTCGCGTTTAACATAATACACCGATAGTTTGATGTAAAAATAATACCTCCTTGGATATCTCCCACGAGACAGCTGCGGTGTAGAAGATTTGGGACGTATTCGTTCCGCTGAACAACTATAATTGACATCTACAAATGAATGACCTGCCATGGTTATTTGGTTCTCTATAGACGCTTTCGGGGCGCGCCAATTGAGCCGCCATAGCCGACCTTCTATTGTCCTGCCGAGATGCCGAGCCACTGAAGCGGGGGTTGCCGAGTCTCCACCAGGGCCTATGCTGGGGAGAAGGACACAGTAACACCCAAAGTGGCAATAACCTGTCCTGCTGTGGCAATGATGAAGTGCAGCGAACAGAATAAGAGGGAACAAAAACTGAAGGTCGGTTATGGCGACGCCCATGCACAGCTGCCTGAAAGTTGTCTGTCTGTTTGTCTGTTTCTCGCCTCTTTGTCCCTGTTTTTTGAGCGCTAAAATGTATTCCAAAATCCAAAACCAACTAGCCCAACAATCTACTCTACTGCCTGAAAGCGTCTATATCAAGGGAGCATGGGCGTACCAACCGGGGGGGCAAAGGGGGCACTTGCCCCCCCAGTTCTCAGAGTGGGGGGGCAAGGCATGCGTTTTGCCCCCCCTGAAACGGCCGCCACTGGGCAGAGCAGACACAGGCCGGCGGCGCCCAAGGAATACAAAGGGCACTGCCCTCCGACCCGCGCGGGCATATTTTTAACGCGCAGGCGATACAAACCCTAGCAACGGTGCTCACGCACGCCGGATTGGCTGGTTCGTAAAGCCTTGCTCCACGAACAAGGCTACACGGTAACCTTACGGAATCCATCCGCGAGACATGGGCCGGACGGGCCGTCCAGACCAGGACGTAGGCCCTTACACAAAATAAAGTTTTGCTTGCTTGCTTGGAGATAGGCGCTGCCGCCGTCAACTTAGGCAGCGGATGCAATGCGAGTTTCTGAAGAGGTAGCGTAACTTAGTGGTGAGATGTCTGCCTCATACGTGTCAGACCCGGGTTCTATTTATGGTGTGGGCCGGCTTACTTCTTTTTATTTTTTTTTTCTCGAACATTTTGTTTTGTCGAGGCATTTGGCGATATTTACATTTCTTTTTTACCATTAACACTAAAAAAACGAATGTTGTTGACGAAACATCGCTAAACTAAATCGTATCGACTCTATTTACGGAAGTGCATGGGGGGCAGCGGGGCTTGGGTTGCCGACCGGACGCCGCAAAGCGGCGTGTACGGGAGGTGGGGGGGCTAGGTGGGTTAATAGATTTGTAATTAGCAGCCGCACACCGTCACCGCGAAGCGGCGTGAACGCAGGCGCGGGGGTGGGTTAACGCGCTTCAAGTGATACACGAGCAGCCCATCCGGCGTGAGCGTCGTTGTTAGGGGTTCTATCGCCTGCACCGTAAAAGGAGCAGTGTGTGCACCTCCTGTAGTGGGCAAGAATTCCTACATTGGAGAGAAGCGGGAACAAGCCCTTTCTTCAAATGCGTCAAGTCTCCTTGAGCTTCGGAATAAAAAGAAACGCCACTATTCGGAGCTAATCCCACATTTACTTGATTTCTCTTGCGTCGTGTATGTTCGCTCCCCGCGCCTCCTAGCAGTGTTGTTGCAGTGGGGGGGCTCGTTAAAATTGTGGGGTTTTTTGGACTATCTAAATTACTTTCTTCCTTCCCATCCCCCCCTTTTTCTACTCCGCATGCTTCCCCCTCTGCAAATATCAGCTGACCTTCCGACCTCTGTTCTCTGTTGATAGGCAAAACAACCACTAAAATTAGAAAGTAATTTGTAATTTGAGTGGAAGTCACTCGGAAAAGTAGTTAAGTAAACTACTGATTACTAGAATAGAAATGTAATTAAAAGTTACTAAACTACCCAGAAAAGTAGTTAAACTACAGTAACTCGAGTAAAGTAGTTGAACTACGTACAAGTCTGGCCTGGCAAGCGCTCTGCGTAAGTGTTTTCACTGATCTGCCTAGCCCCGCACACCATCACATGGGCCAAGAAAAATGTAGTTTTACTGCAGAGGAGAAATCAGCAGGGTCCAAGATGGTGACAAAGGAGGATGGGGGACTGTTCCAGTGGCTGATGGCTTGAGAAATGAATGACCAATTGAAAGCGTTCAAAGAGCCAGAAGTGTGTTTGATGGTGCAGACGTTGTTGAGGCGAGAAGATGTTCGGTCGAGGGGTAATAACAAAGTGGTTTTGAGGTCGGGAATGTGGTAGTAGATTTTGTGAATAAGGCACAGCTGAGAGACTTTCCTGCGAAGCTGCAAAGAGGACATGGTTAGTTCAGTTTTTAGCGCCGAGACACTAAAAGAAAAGTCATAAGTGATGAAGCGAGCAGCTCTGTTCTGAACTGCCTCTACAGCGTATTGATGAGGTACAGTCGATGGGTATTCCAGATGGTTGAAGCATATTCTATTTTTGGTCTGACGTACGTGTGAAAGGTTAGCTTAGGGACAAAGGGTGGAGCGATTTTTTAAGTTACGTCTGCTTAGTCCAAGAGTTCCAGATGAATTGGTGGTAATGACTTCAATGTGGTTATTCCAGGGAAGGTCACATGTTAGTCTTACGCCAAGGTATTTATACACAGTAGCGGTCTCAATCAGATCGGAGTCCAAGAAGTAATTAAATGACAGAGTGTTTTTTTTCTTGGTGAAGTGGATTAGTTTGCGTTTATACTTGTTTGGTGACATAATCCACTCTTTGCACCAATTGTTAATTTTATCTAGATCTTCCTGAAGCTGGTTATTATTTTGCACACAAGTTACGTTGTTATGAATGACGCAGTCGTCGGAGAAAAAGCGTTTTTTTGAAGAAATCCCAATGGGAATGTCATTAATAAATATTAAAAAGAGTAAGGGCCCAAGTACGAACTTCAGGGGAACACCAGGAGATGCATTTATTAAGGAAGATTCATGATCATCATGGACGTGACCTGTACACGGGAAAAAAGAAAGTCACGAATCCATGCAAACGGTTATTGGTCGAGGCAAAAAGATGATAGCTTAGAAAGAAGGCGTTGATGGAGGACACGGCCAAACGCTTTGGGAAAAAAAAAAAAATAACTGCGTCAGTTTGGACGTGACATTCAAGGTTAGTGTGCAAGTCATGGATGAAGTCGCAGAGTTGCGTTTCGCAGGAAAGTACCTTTTGAAAACCGTGCTGCTGTTTAAAGAAAAGAAATGGGATGATAGGTGCCTCATGATATTGGAGTAGAGGATATGCTCAAGTAGTTTGCAAGAAATTGAAGTCAATGAATTAGGGCGATAATTAGATGCGGAAGAGCGGCTGCCCTGTTTAAAGACTGGGAATTACCCTTCCCACCTTTTGGTCAGATGGAAGGCAGCTTTGAGATGAGGACTGAATGAAGATGAGTTTCAAATACTCACTAGAAATAACACGGGTGTTTCTTTTAAATTTTAGGGTTGATGTTATCGGTTCCAGCGGACGAAGTAAGTTTTGGTTTATCAATCAATGTTTTAATACCAGCGGAGTTAACGTTAATAGAATGCATGCGCTCGTAAAGCTCTTCAGGGAGAGTGGGGACGAAGTGCAAGCACTCGTTAGTAAACACTGATGAAAAGTATTCGTTAAACACAGAACTATCATGCTCGACGTTGCATATCCGACATTCCTAACTCTCCCCATCTTCCTAAACGTCCGTGTGTGTCCTAACACCAGAAACCGGAATTTTAAAGGTTAAAAACGGCACGTTGCGAATATGGAACGAGCACTTTCATGCAAAGCTGACGTCAAGTGACTCAAATCGAAAAACATGCATATTTACAGTATTGTTATCTCTTCTGGTGAAGGCTAAACAACCGTTGCATCCGTTTTCGCGCACGAAACGGTGACTCCCAGAGAAAGTAAGAACGCAGTGATTGTCTTTATTTTAACAATGTAAACACACTTGCAGGCGTGCGCTGATGAAGCCTCAAAATCAAAACTCTCGTAGTGTGATTCGTGACTGCTCCGGCTACTACCCAACCTCGTTGTCACGCCACTTTCTGCAAGCAAACACTAAAATTGCCAGTAAACACACAAAAGCGACATCGATACAATTATCTTGTAGAATATCACCTTATTTAATCATAACTGTTTCAATAGGCACTACAAGTTGTATTTATTTTAAGAAGAAGAAGCAAAATTTTTTCCGTGAGAAAAAACAAAATATCAATGTTAAGTCTGGTAACGTTGCAATTTTGCGGAATCATTGCCACATCTTTAGAAAAGTTCGACAAAAGTTGCGCCGAATTTTCGATTAAAAGGGGGGGGGGGGGGAGAGGGTCGGGTTTGCCCCCCCCACTCAAAAACAAGTTGGTACGCCACTGCAAGGGAGTGTTTTCTTGTTTTTGTTTTGTTTTTGTTTTTTGCTAACCGATTACTAAACTTGTCTATAAATAAATTATTTTCCTCGATGACTTCGTTTTATCTGGCACACTTGGCACAAGTTCCATGTTGTATTCATCGTGTTGTGGTGCAAGCATGGCCTTTTTGTCCCTACCATCACTCTCACCTTGGCTCGTTTTTTTTCTTTCCTTTCAGGGTTATGTCTCGCCTACTGGGAGAGCAGGTTCGACACCAGAGCCTACCACAAAGGAAAGTACGACGGCAGCGGAGACCATGGCATCTTCCAGGTCAGCCCCCTTCTCTCTCCTTCTGTATACGACCTTTAAAACACAATCACGCCGCTCGTACATCATACAAACGACACGGAATTCGCTGCCGACATGATGACAGTATCATCCGCGGACGCGCCTCAACCATCGTCCAAGCATGTTTGCTTCATACACGAATGCTTCGAACCTATGTTGGCAGACAGTCTATGTATAACCAATCTGTAATCGCGCTCAGCAGAAATACGAGGACATGCGCTCTACAGACACTGACTGACCTGATGTACTTGTGCACGTTGGTCGCGACAAACTTGGAAGACGCCTTGTGCAACTTGTGTTTATTACGCGAATCTTTTGTCTTTCCGACGTGGCGCAGATCAACGACAAACACTGGTGTCAGCCGCACCAAGGACTCAGCGAGAACGTCTGCCGGATGCCCTGTTACCGTGAGTGACGATACGACTCGCATCCGACGGGCCCCTCGGGGCGTCTTATCTTGCCGTGGTAGAGAGCATGCGATAAGTACATGCGCTTTAGAGCAATCTTATCCCCCGAAAATTGACCTGTCAGAGTCGCAACTTTGTCTCTGGCGGTATGGTGAAGGATCAATCAGCACGCTTGGCGGTCTGATGTACGGGCATGCTGAACAGGCCTGCAGCCTACGCTGAAGTTCCGAATTTACTTGGTCGTTAATGATTGTTTGCCGACTCCTGTCCTACAGACTGCCAGCGAGCATCTGATTGTAACAGACATCGCATGTCAAGGTTTCGGTCACAGTGTTGACATACGTCCTCACTTCTTCAAAACTAAAAAAAAAAAAAAATTCTCAATTCTTCACTCGACAACTTATGCAGTTAATTTCGCGCGTCTGTAACTACAAAATGTGTGCTATATATAAGTAATAAAGTTAGCGGCAAATAACGCTAATTGCGAAATAGAACTCAGTCATACCTCCTCTTGGCCATAGCGAGGTACATTTTATGAGCACAGCAATTTCTATCGAGGTTTGAATTCATTGTGTGGCACTATATAAAATGGGCAGTGAAAAAAAACGTTCGGTCGCTTTCGCTATTTTTCATTATTTATTTAAAGTTATCTTTATTGAATGTAGGTTCGATGTAATGACTCACCTGTGTTTGCTGTATAAGAAATACAGCAATAACCTTCCTTTTATTGCAGTGCTGCGGGACGACAACTTATACGATGACATTGAATGTGTAAACAAGATCTTCCGGCGACACGGTTTTCACGCCTGGTGGGTGCAATATATTATTTTTTATTGGATGCACGAAAATAGACTTTGCCTACGCCTCGTATGTTAAATTCCACCGCAAGTCACAGGCAGGATTTTGCATGAATTACTGTAAACTACTCTTGGCCGAGAAAGAAGTCTTCGATTACGTGCCGTATTCCAGCGAGCTTTGGCCGTTAACCTTGCAGAATAGCAAGTGTGTCTCCAACTTAGATTCGTAAGCCATAATTTCTACGAGGTAAAGGCACGAACGCAATGGTTCCTAACTGTGATGTTAATGCAGTCAGTGCAAAGGTGCAGCGAGCTGGACAAGAATAACGAAAATAATCCACTGAAAAGGGGAACAAGGGGGACAAAGGACAAACACAAATCTGCAAACACAGCTGTAGGCGAAAACTCGCTGCACCTTAGCATTAATGCATTAACATAATAGCCTTAAAAGGCAGGTCGTTCACCCTTGCTGGTGCTAGACTGGTGGAAGCTGTTAAAACCTGTTTGCTCAAGTGACGTCTAATTCTTGGTTAGCTCAATTGGTAGAGTGCTCCACTCGAAATGGAGGTTCCTGGTTCGATACCAGTACCAGCTGGATTATTTCAGTCGCGCATCAGTCACCTTAACTGCTTTTGGAGATATGTGTTTGTCCTTTGTCCCCCTTGTTCCCCTTCTCCGTAAATTCTCATCGTTGTCCCTAGCTAGTTGACAATGATACTCAAACTCTAAATCTATAAGAAAAAGAAAACCACCTAATACAAAAAAACACACACACGTACAGAATTGGTTATTGAGAAGCCGGGGAAGGGGTGGGGGTAAGGCAAAATATATTTGGCGACGAAGTAGAAACTTCTCCACGAACCCGTCTTATCTCCCCACTCGCAGGATGATGTTCAGTCACAAGTGTTCGGGCAACACTCTGGAGTTCTTCAACGGCTGCGACTTTAGGATACGTAGAGGCGACATGACTGCGGCCCCCTCTGGGCTGAGCATCACCATCGAGCCTCCACCAATCTTCGAGAAGCTCTCGCAGCTCACCAAGGGCATCTACGAGTCCGGCAGCCACGGACCGCCCACGACATCGTCCTCGGGGCCCACAAGGAGGGCTCCCGAACGCATCGGCTCCAGGGAACCTGACCGCTGGACCGCCAAGCCCAGCGCCCACAAGGCTCGACCGCCAAGGCCTCGGGCACCGCAGAAGCTGCAGTCCCCTCATCGGGAGAACAGGGAGCCGGTCCCCATAGTTTTCCAGAGGTGCGTTATACGTCGTCGCAACAAGCTTAACAATGTCGGTCTACCATTTTTATTCTACCATTTCTCAATATCAATGTCTTCATTCGTAGACTTTGCCATATATGGCGAGAGTTTTCTGAAACTCATGGTGTGCAGTGAAGGCGCGGGAAAAAACGACAACATTTCGCTACAGGAAGCTTTCGCGGGACGTATAGGCAACAGCAAAATATGTGTCGTTTCACGGGTACATGTTTTGCCAACCAGGTATTATTAACACTTGATGGTGCTTCGAATGCTTAGCTAATACTCCCATATGCTCAAAAGTGCGAAGCTCAGGCATCTCTAAGACACCACATGTAACGATCAAAATACATCCGTTCATTCATGATCTTGTAAAGCGTTCACAGTGCTTAAACAATCAAGGCATAAAGCTGTAAAAGCGTGTCAGAAAACAGCGTATCACTAGGAGTTCTCAATAGTGAACAATCCTCGTATTTAAAAGAGACGAACAACTAACACTGCCTGCATACTCCCTCGACGCAGGCCCCCGCTTCCGATGCACCAGTTGCAGTCGCCCAACCCGCCGCCACCGCGACGAACAGCGGTGAAGTACAGACCTCCGCAGCCACCCCATGTCCAGGTCCTGCACAAACTAGAGCCGCAACCCCAACCCCGACCGCATCCACGGCCACAGCCCCAGAGACCACAGCCGCAGAGACCACTGCTCCAAAGACCACAACCGCTGATACCGCAGCTCCAGAGACCACTGCCACAGAGACCACCACTGCTACCAGGACCCTCAATAGGACCAGGAGGTCCCGCAGTCTTCCAGGACATCCAGACTCCGATGGCCCAGGAGTCTATTTCCCACGTCTTCGCCATTCCGCCCATGGGCCCATCGGGGATGCCGCTGCCCCACATCCCACTGCAGCCCCAGCTCGTCGCGCTGCCGGGGACGTCACACGGGATGTTCGAGCTGCGCAGGGGACCCCCGCCCCTGCCGGTGCCCGTGCACGTGCCTCCACCGCCTGCCCAGCTGGTTGTCTACAAGCGCACCAAGACGAGACGGCTTCCCGGAGGCATCAGGCTGCGGCCGTTCATTCAGTACGCCAGGTCGTCGAGGGTACGGAGGGTTTTTGGTTTGTTTTTTATAACGCTGCTAATACATTATACAAAAGATAGTCTGCAGACTTTGTTTAAGGCCTGTTTCTTTCTTGTTCGACGGTGCTGTCATATTGGGGATAAAGTCTCGTATATTTTAATGATGTAAGAAAACGCAACTACTCGAAACCGAAACCGAAACTTGGTTGGGGAGGAAGAAGAGATATAGAGGAGGAAAAAGCTACTGAAACTACGTGACTGTGCAACTTTTTTTTTTTCTCTCTCTCAATCAATGCATTTGCAACTTTTTACAAGCCACAAAAAAAAGGTTATCATACTTTTTGACTATTCTTAGAATTGAGTGTGTGCCTTCGATGCCCCACGACTTTGATTATCTTTGGTGGTTGTGCTTAAACTATACATGGGGGGATCGGTGGCCGAGTGGTCTAGCGCACACCAGCTCGGAGCACGTGGAGCGAAAGCTCGCGCTGCAGAACCCTGGGATCCTGGGTTCGAGCCCCACCCCTGCCCGTTTCGATCTGGATGAGCATCGTACCGGCGTGCGGTCGTGTATCACTACTGCGTGATGCACGTTAAAGACCCCAGGCTAGCGGCTGTACCGCACTGGCTAAATTTCTCATCTACAGCTGGGAGACTCGTCGCCCCTGTGAGGCAGACCAAGTTCTAGGCTGTATAAACACACACACAACCCAATTACTAAACCATACAAAACGGCACGTGACCACGGAGAAGCGAGTAAGCGCGACTCAAACCGGCCAGCTCTCGATCGGCGGTTCATGGGCGGAGAGAAATCGAATTTCGAGCCAAAAATTATGCTCTGGGTAGCTGGGTTCCCATATGTCATGTTCAAATCAAAACCTTGGCGAGCGTAAATACCCTGTCAGTGTCCCTTTAAGGCGTGTCCGGAGATAATTCTGTTTGCCTTTTGTATAATGTACGAGCAGTACGATTGCAGCTTTAATGTGGATATGTGACTCTTCTAGGGGTGTGCTCTACGAGTAAAAGGTTGTTCTAGAGGTATACATTTCAGCCTCGGGCGTTGAACAACGCACTGGCGGAACTACAAGGATAGAAAAAGAGCAGGGAGAGAGTAGAAAAGAAAAAAAAAGTAAGCACAGTTTGCAGCAGCTCAGTCAGGACAGGATCATTATTCTGAATATTTCCACCTTCGATTCAGCTAATTTTATTGAGTAAAATAATTCAAGAAACAAAACGTAAACCGTGTAGCCCAAAATTCAGAAACCAGCTCCAAATGCTATACGCCTAAAAATTATCTAAAGAGCCATCGAAGATATAGAGGCGCCGGAGCGCTCTTCTACGGGTAGTTTAATTGGATTAGTGCTATAGACCTATTGCTATATTACCCAAGCATCAAGGAATATGCAGGGATTGGTGTTCCACGTGCCGCACGAGCTGGCGTCAGCAGTAGTAACTTTTCTAAAGCAAATACCTCAAACCAATGGCGTCTTGCACGCGCGCTCGTCAACGCTTTATTTTGGTTATTTACTTCGAATCTTTTATACGGGGAAGGCGTGCGCGTGTGGGCGCGTGGAACACCAATCCCTGCATTCTCCTTGATGCTTTGGGTAATATAGCAAATGGCCTATTGGCGACGTGAGTGATCGAAAGCGTCGCTGTGATCAGCCTTCCCCGATTGGCCTAATGCTGACTATGACGTCACCAAAGATTTCGCATCGACGGAAATAAGAGTAATGTAAGAACTTCACTTTCGAGGGTGTAGGCAGGGTTGGTTTCAGAGCGCAATGATTTCAAGTTTCCACCATGCTCATTACAAACACCGACGAACTTGTTGTTTGCAAGGTATTGACGTCACGAGAGGTAACCATAGGAGGGCGCAGCCAAAACATCTCGCCGTCAATACTTCGAGAAGGAATTTCAAAAAGCACGCGATCAGGGCCGAGCCTGGAGCACGGTGTAAGATGATACTCTTCAGGTGAGGACAGCGTGCTCCTCGCGACGTGCCGATACAGTTCGCTTTTCACTCTCTCTCTCTTTCTTTCTCTCACTATGGTTTCAACTAACCGGCGCCAGCAGATGACTTGTCGACCCATGCGCACGGTGTAAAACGCAGGAGGCAGGCAGCAGTGCATAAGACGGCTCGTGCCGCCTCATGCTCCTCATGCGTAGAGCTCCAGCGAGGTTGTCGCACGTCCAGAAAGACCACGGTGTACCGGGGTGTCATGGCAAGGAGATAATTTTTTTCGCTCTCACGCAGTTTCGCCGTTTGGCTGCCGGCGACACTGTTAGCCGCGGGCACGGTGACCGCGGAATGATGCAACTTTTTGGATGCCCGTCGAACGAACGCTATCTGATTCCTCGCGCCGCGCATTCAGCCCCGCCTTGTCCTCACCTAAAGAGTGTATCTTACACCGTGGCCTGGAGTAAACATGCGCGGAACTCTCGTATAAAGGGAAATCAGATATGCCCACATGGTTGGTTGTTTGCATGCCTTTACAGAATGAGAAAACCTCGAGTAGTAAAAGAACTAAGATCAGTGATCACAAAGGTGGTTGTGATCATAAGGCGCCACATTTGAGAGCGGTGTTCGCAGCGCACGCTCAGAACGAGCCCCCCTTCTAAAAAGAACTACAATGTTGGTGTTGTGGAAGCTCATCATGTGCTCGCGCTCAGCAGTCACGGACTCCACTATGGCCGCCGGTGAATACTACCTGTATCATGTGCAACAAACCGTCAGAGATGCCGTGTTGATGACACCACATTTCGCTTATATCGCAGCATTCCAAGGGCAAAGCAAAGAGGCGGCCGCCGTCATTCTGAAGCAGCTCGGACGCACGCTGCGCGAGGCTCCCAAGTCAGTCGGACCAGCACTGCCTCATCGACGCATCCCAGGGATTCATTGGCTGCATTTACATGGACTACGTTTACGTGAATGCGATCGTAGCGCATCGAATACAGCAGGGACCATTCGCGCGCAGCTTGTCTTCCTGCTTCTTATTCTTCTACCCATCTGCTACCAATCACAATTATCAAATCTCGATTCGATGCGCTATACGGTCGCATTCATATAAATGCAGCCATAGATGCGACCGTAGCGTATCGAATCGAGATTTGACTATCTTGATTGGTAGCAGAGAAAGAAGTAGGAGTACAGGCTGCGTGCTATTGGTCCCTGCTGGACTCGATGCGCTACGATCGCATTCACGTAATTATAGTCATTGGCTAGGTTTACGTGGATGCGATCACAGCGCATCGAATCGAACAGGGACCAATCGCACGCAGCGTGTCTTCCTACTTTTTTTCCCTTCTACCCATCTACTACCAATCAAAATAGTCAAATCTTGATTCGCTGACGCTATGGTCGCATCCACGTAAACGCAGCCATTGACCACCATTCTTCGCCTCGCCCCTTCAGACGGAGGCCAGGAACGCTGCGACCTTCTCGTAGACCCATAGCGATAGACCCATTCCGAAATTTAGTCTGGCCACTCTGAACACTATCAACATCTGAATGTACGGCACCTAACGTTGACGGCACCTGCCGCATGCTAATGGCTGCCTTTCTGGTGGCTGAAAAAGTTCAAGTCATGCACCGGGGCGGATATTTCACAGAGCCCGTGAATCCTAAACGTCAGTGGAGTGCGGCGCCTGAACCGCGTTCGTTTCGGACTGGCGTCAGAAACGAAGCTAAAGTGAAATGCTCGGGAGTGGCCACGTCCTGCGTTTATTCAATTGTCAGGGATCAATTTCATGATGTAGTGCGTTTGATCAAGGACTTTACTGGGGTAAGCGCTTCGCGTAGGGTGTCTTGGCCACTATCCAAACTAAAATGACTCGAGAAAGAAATGTGCGGCAAAGAAGACATTCCGCTCTGCCGCTGACGTACGAAATTGGTGGTGCGCGATGAAAATCCTACATTTTCTTTTTCTTTTTTTTTTTTTACTGCCATTAGCATGCGAACAGAACGGAACAAAGAGTATTTGAGCCCTTAGGTTGCGCTAGATTTCGGAAAGGGTCCGTTCCTTGTAAATAAGAAGTTTATAATTTATTACCCATTATTAACTCATGGCGTGCACCCAGCAGTTCTTGCTCCCTGTGCGTTTTTGTCTGTTCCGCGAGGAGTGCCAACATCTCTAACGCAAACGGTGTCGTCTGTCCTGCATTAAAATATCCAAGAATACATGTTTCTCTTTCTCCGTTTATGGGTCAGTCTTTACCTATTTTCAGCACCGAAAAGACAGAAAAATATTAAAAAAAAAAAACGTTCAAACGTTCAGCCTTTCCACTCTCGTGAAGAAGGAAGACTAGCGGAGCTGTACTCGATACACTGTGTGCTACTTCTTCGTCGTCGTCTGTTTTTCGCGCTGTTTCCTACGATGAATTCCCACCAACGCGCCCAACTATCCATTCTTCTATTATATCTGGAAAGGTTGGCGCCATCTACGAGCGACGGCGGAAACCATACTGGTTGTGTGCTTGCCGCCGTCGCTTATAGATGGCGGTAGCTGTCAAGGTAGGTTTGTGTCGACATACCGGACACGATCTAAGCGAACCTAGCCCTTGACAGCTCCGCTGTAAAAATAGCGTGTTTTGTAAATGGCATACAAAACTCGCATTATATTTTTGTGTGACTAGTAAAATGTTGTTCCACACTAACCACGTAAGTTCCACTATATGCCTGTCATATGAGAGCAGGCGACACGCGAAGGAAGCGGGCAGAAACGTGCGTGTGACTTCCGTGTGGTGGCGCAAGTTATGCGCGGAAATAACGTTCTTCGGAAACATCCGGCCGTTTCTAAACGCTTTCTAGCAACCAAGAGTTTGAGAAAACTCCAGCTTTTCCCTAGAAGCTGCTGTTAAGTAATAATAAAAGCCACCAGACTTTAGCCGCATGACCAGGGGTCTCAAACTCATTCAGATGTGGGGGCCTCATAGCCCACTCCGAGAGGCCGAGGGCCGGCGCAGGATTGGGGAAGAGGGGGGGGGGGGGAGAGAAAGAGAGAGAGAGAGAGATCGTTTTAAGGATCCCAGTAAAAGAAGAAAACTACGGTGGTTTACATGCTTAAATATAGCTGATTCTCTCATCGGCACATTTGAGATTTCCTAGAAAAGGGACCTCGTGCTCCCTGCCTTTCGTGAACTCGCTGTTTCAGTGATGACATATTCAGCGTTGATTCCTTTATGTGACTACTCTTAGCCCATCCATGATGTGATAACCGGATTGAAAATAACACGGCTCTACTAACGTGTTTTTTTTTTTTGTTTTTTGTTTTTTTTCAATTTAACAAGGGAGCAAGCTCAGTGTCGATGCGGTGTCACTCGAGTGTCTCAAAAAATTATGCAAATTCAGCATGTTATTATATATATATATATATATCACGACAGATTTGCTTGTTTGACAATTTTTATGGTAGCACTATAAGATATTTCGTGCGTTCTAATGGTACATTTTGACAGCTAGAAACCCGACCTCATAGCTTCAGCTTTGAAAGCTGCTCTTGCTGGTCATGAGTTCGTGCAGTCGAGGTGCGTCCTAAAGAGCTCGCGCTTGTAACATAGCAGTGGGATTGTGATACAGGTGAGTAACATGAAAAGCAGGTGAGAAGCAAAAATAAGGGAGAAACAGTAGTCAGTCAAGAGAAACAGAATAGACAAAAAAATAATGCGAGCGCGTCGTAAGAACAGAGCAACGTTTTGAGTGTAAATGAGTCTACGACATGAAACCATTATTTACGACGCCTATGTGCCGACCAACTGAGAGAGAGAGAGAGGAGACGAGAGCGCGTGGGGTCGCCAGAACGCCGCTCTGGATCCAATGAAAATTTCGATGGGAAAATGGCGGCCGACGGAGTTTTCGAATACATGGGGCTCTATGGGCACCAGAAACCGAAAACGGGCAAAAATGGGCTCCATTTTCCCATTGAAAGTTTCAGAAAATCACTTTTAGCTTTTGAATAAGGTATCGGATCGGGCTGAAACTTTGCATCTGGTTGTGACCTCTAGCGCTACATATCGGCGGATAATGAGCGTTTCGCGTTGCTTACTTTATTTTTGCGATAAACAAAAAAGAAAAACCTTGAAATTTGTTTTTTGTGACACCCTGTCCACATAAAGTTTTGGATCCCAGTTTGGACAGTCTCCAAAACCGGCTTCTCAGCGTATCGCGCTGGGCTTTACTACAGATATGGTGCCTGGAACGCGTCTCCGACTGGTGTGTTTACCGCGGCCAAAAAAGTGGTCCCTCGATTTCCGCCTGATGACGTCATTAAAGTGTCATGTTGTCGCCGGTCACGACCCTGGCGGCGTCCCAACAGTTGTGGTAAATATGGCAGACGCCTGTTCTGCTGCAGGTCGCTTTCCATTGAGACAGTTCACGGAAGCTAGGACAGCCGGAAGTTGGGACGCCTAAAGCGACGCCGTGACGACAGCGACACTCCCGTCCGCTCGTGCTTTTCGCCAGCATTTCTACGATCAACCGCCAGGATCGCGGCAGGCAACAGCATGACACTCGCGTCATCTGTTGCCATATTGGGACCACTTTTGATGTATGGGCGGGATAGGGCGCTAAACACACCAGTCGAAGACGCAATCGAGGCACCATACTACAGAGGTGCGGCTATGTGGCGCACGCATAAAGTTAAAATATGAACAGGTAAACTTACCTCGTTGAAGGAAGAAAGAAAGGAGGACCTGTTTCGGGCAATCTACGGCGCCATTTCCCAGGCGACGCAGGCGGTGTCCGTTGGCTTGGAGACGCTGCCCACAGATGGCGTATCCAACGAAAAACTTTCGATAGATCGTCTGCTATCGACACCCGAATCGGCGCGCCCCTGGTGGTGTTTGTCATGTTTCTGTACGTGTTCTATCATCGCTGAACCAATCATAAACAGAAAAGGTCCACTAACTTGGGCTTTTGGCGCCGTTTGATTGATCCCATAGTGTCGGCTGCGTTTGGACATAAAAGTGCCTCGAGGAGGTATCTGGATCTCATAAATAGGGAGTATTCACTGGACGCCATATTTGTGGGTGCTGTTTAGAGCGCATGCTCAGAACGAGCTCACATCAATAGGCTGCTAAGACCGGCACTCTTGATGGTGCGCACGTTGCAAAAGAACTGTGAAAGCTCGCCATCGGCACGCGCTCAGCATTCGCGCACACGGCTATGGCCGCCAGTGAATACTGCCTATAGTGCGATAAATTACACTGCGGGCTCTAAGCACCCCAGAAATTCATAAATCATAACGATGCGCGGCTGGTTTCTCCATTAAAAAAGCAATCAAAGATCGAGCACACCGTCTCCGGCGATGGGAGGAACATTGTTCCGGCAGCCAGGACGACATGTGAACAATGAGAACGCGACATTTCATTGAGATTGCAAACTTTGTTATTACAAAATGTGTATGATTTCGTAGATGATAAAAACAAACAAGACTAGTCTAACAAATTTTTTTTTTCGCGGAAAGGGAACATAATACTGCAAGAATCGTCTCAAAAACAACGCGCAATGACTTTTTTTTTTTTTTTTTTGTCGCGGCGGTAGTGTGTGTGTTTGTCAGCGCTCGAGCGCGTGCTCGCTGAGTGGAATCGTATAGGTCGGGTTGTATGGGCAACGAGCCGCGTGCATTCGAGGTATCACACCGTGGCTCCACCGGTCGGAGGCGCGAGGGCCCTTCGCTTGTTATTGGCTGGTAGTGGTGCTGGTTTCGGAACACTCCTCTGTCGCCGAAGGTGACCTCGGTGTGTTGCGATCTTTGATTGACTTTTTTTTTTAAATAGAAAAATCGGTTGCGTGTTGTTGATTTAGGAATCTCTACGATGCCTAGAACCAGCAGAGTGAGTTATCAGCATATTTAGGCGATCGCAAAAAACTCCCCAGGGCGCCCTTAAGCTGAAACGAAGTATACCACTCGTCCCAATTGCATATTCGGAAAAGCTTGTGGAGTAAGTCAACAGGCCAATTTCGGCACTCTGATTGGCGCCTTTTCATGGACGTCTCATCGAATGGTTTACGGCGAGAAAGGGGGGGGGGGGGGGTGCTTACGTAAACACGCTCCAATGTTTCAGGCGCTGACCCTTAGACGGGTCCCAGATTCGCTTGCGGGTATCGGGTAAGCAAATCTGGGAGCCGGCGTAGGACTAGCGCATGAATCCCTGAGGCACGTTTACCTGAGCCTCACCCCGTCTTTCCTCACTCTTTCCCTGTAAACAGGGCAATTTGACGTCCACGAAAACGCACCAACCAGAGTGCCTAAATTGTTGGAGAAAGCCAAGCCGATAGGCTCTCCCAAAATGCCATCCTGAAAAAGGAGTGCGGACTCTACCAGAGTCACCCGATGCAAAGAGAACCGCACTTTCTTCACCGCAAAGATAAACTAGGCATCGCCGAACGTTCATATACTTACATGTTGTCGAATTGGATCAGATGTCGAAGTTTCAAAACTTACCATGACTTCCTTCCAAATCGAAAGTTAAAGTATGATTTTGCTGAATTTTTCAATAATAAAATGGGGCCATTCAGACGCCATTCTTCTCCATGCATTCAAGTGTTCCGTTGGCCGGCATTTTCCCCCTGAACTTTTGCGAAAATCGCTTATAACGTTTGAACCAAATAATGGTAAGTTCTGGAACTTTGGCACCATCGTACCAACCGCTAGCTCTACATTTGGATGAAGACGGGGCATTCGGCCATGTATAGTTTATTCTGCAGTGAAAAAAAATACCGTATTTACTCGAGTGATAGCCGCACTGTTTATGAAGAAAACCTGAGGGTCCGCTTTTCCGCGAAGCACGCAGATTGCCAATCACCGCGAACGACAGCATGATCCCAGCTGTTTACAGGGCAGAGATAACGCTTTCGTGCGAAAATACCAACTGTGAAAATTGCATCTGTAGTGAGAACCGTGTTCTCGATCTGGTTATTCGCAATGTTATTTATGCGCAACGCAATGATTAGCTGTATATGTGTTCTGTGGGAAAGTAGGCGCAAGGGCCTTGTTCATAAATAGTGCGGTTATTCCTCAAGTAAATGCGGTACGGTTTCCTTTTCTATCACACACCCGGAATTTTTCGCCAACAGACGATTTCTCCGGCGCCACAGATGAGAGAGGCTAGCTCTAGAGTCTAAGCAAGCAGCAGTCGATAGTTGGACGAAACAACTGTTGTCAGAACTGGAGTAACCATCCCTACATCTTTCAGAATAAACTCTGCGTATACGAGAACAAAAAATCTATCGACTCGTTTATTTACAAGTTGGTACAATTGGACATTTTATACACCGTTTAAGTTGCTAGATAAAGAGCAGAATATGTTTTAAACAAGGACAAGGTGATACCGCGCTGTTAACCTGAGACACCATAGAGTGGTGGAAACACGCGCTGCCAATATTGCTAATCTCTTTATTTTATACTGATCGCCGTAAAGCTTCGCTTACGGCATGCACTAATAATTGCAAACAAATCCAGATTTACGAAACATTTAACGAGAAAAATAGATGGCATCCAGCTTACCCAACTCTACCTAGCCTGCTGCTTAATTAAGGCGACCAACGTAGATTTAACCGAAGTTTAAACGAAAACAATTAAGCGGTAGAGTTTAATAGATAATACAGAAAAATATTAACCAAAAATATTAACCAAAACTTGGCGTCTCCAGTCATGCAGAGGACATTCACAGCAAAGTAGTGTTTCCGAAACAAAGCAGAAACTAAAATGCCTCATCTATAAAGATTCATTTCTTCAGGTACAGTAGGCCGCACAAATACAAGGGGTGCGTTTCAGACGTTCGTCCGTCTCCTGAGTCGTGCACTGACTAGACGCAATGACTTGCAACTTTAGTGGAGTAATAACAGTGCCACCAAAGACTTGGACCCCCTCGAAAGCTTTCGTCCATTCGGACTATTTACACATCCATAGCACATGGTAAGCGAAACAAAATCCCCAGTGCATACACCCAATTAGGATTACTTTCGCACGATCGCAGATTCATCACATTTAAGCAATACAACTCGACCTGGCTCTGTTCTTTTGTTACACTATAGTTCAGGAAGCATTTGCTCGTGCAATCACATTCAACGTAAGAGGTGAACGACCGTAACCAAAATACTTTTGTGTTTACTTGAGTCTGCAAGTAACACTACTAAGTAAAAGAGACCAATCACAAACCAGAGCTGATGAGCCCAAATTACTCGTTCAACAATCTTAGGTGTCATTAAACAACAAAATGCCACATTTCTGCAGCGATAACAATAATAAACAATAACGCAACAAATATTTAAAAAAAAAGGGTCACCCACACGTTATCACAGATTGAAGTCCGCCCAGCACCGGCAGTCTCATGCAGAATGGACACTTCGCTCAGCGCACCCCAGTCGGAGGTCTGAGTGGCATCCACCTTCATTGTCGAACTGTTACTTCGCGGCGTCTTCTAACGGCTGGTTCACACTCTTGGGACTGCGTATGGCCTTGTGCCTCAAAACCTCCTAACGACGAGAACACACTGCCGTCAGCTATCGGGCAGCCCTGGAACACTTGGCAATTCCGTATATTATCTTTTTTTTCGTCATCCTTTCTCTTTTGAAATAGCTTCTGACAAGGTTATAGACAACCATTTCCCACAGCTATAGTACGTACATTTGATCTCTCAAATACCGCAAAACCTTCGCTCTAGTGAAAGCCGTTCCACGGTCACCTCCTAGTGTGAACGGGCCTTAACACGAGACAAAGCTTAAGACTTTCCACATCTGCCTCGCTTAGAGGTTAGTCAATGCTGAGCCCCGGTGCTCGCCGTCTCCAAGAGCCCGGCCCGGGGTCTCAGTCCTTCTCGACGCTCTTGACGAATATGCTGTGCATTCGAGCGAGGCGAGCACCCATGGAACTCGCACGCTTCGGGGGCTCCAGGTGGGACTTGCTGTTTGCCGATCCGTTCGACACTGCGGGGTCGAATGCCTGCTGCGGCTGCGCACTGGACTGTCCAGCGGACACCTTGCGTGGGAGGCGAGAACGGGTGTACGGAGACGGCTTGATGGTATTGGTGTATGGACACACTTCGACCACCGGATCGTTCGTCCACAGTCTCTGTAACGAGTGAGAAATTCGGGGCATTGAGTCGGTACCTTGAAGCTCGATTGACATTGCGTGCGACAAACTAAGACAATTTGCAGACGACGCGCTCTTTTGTCTGCTAGTTGCGCCTATCGGGAGGTGGCGCCACAAGTGACATTCATCGCTAACTCGGTCGTCTGCGAACACGTCCACCGTTGTCTTTGGCAAGTTTATCTAAGTTTTTTTACAGGAGCAGAAGTACTCCTTGAAATTTTATAGGGTATAATACACTACCTCAGTGAACTTTCAATGAAGTCTGAGGTTTATGTGCGGGTGCCGAGTTTTCCTGCCCGCTTCACATGATAAGGTTCACGGTGACCACCCTGTACCTCACGGCGGTAATTCTCGATCTCGAAGCAGACAACAGGAGTGACTAGCTGTAATTATACAAAAAAAAACACTTAACACAACTTTAATAAATATGAGACGTCTATCACAGCGTCTAATTAAAGCGGCCACGCCATCAACAGAAACTTGCCATAGAATGGGCGCTGTTTACAAAGTATGTATACCGCGAGTAGCACGTATAAAAGTATTAAACATGACAATTGAGAATAAAAAAAAAAAAGCTTTTGTTGCAGAACAAATATGTAGAAACATCTGCAATGTTCCTTGTGACCACATAAGTGTACCTCTTTTTCAAAGTTTAAATTTGATGCGTGTAAATAGCTAACACGAATTTCGTTTATGCATAAGTTATAAATCTAAAGTTTTGAAAAGTGTTCATAACCTCACTGAATCGCTTCTCTAGCCCACCCAAAGCTCAAACATTCCCCACCTGATGCACTGAGAATTGGAAGGTATTTTGTTATAAAACAACCTATGGTGAACAAATGCTGTCAAGTGTGCTTTCTAATATGGTTGATTTTCTGACCTCAAATAAAATTGATCCAGCTAAGTCATCAGTAAAAGGTCTTCGAGCAATATTTACAGATATGGAAGCTTAAACACGACTCATAACCACTGTTATCATAAACATTGTGTGTATGAATGCGAAAGCGTTCTTACACGCAGCGCATTCCTACCAGCAGCGCGCCAGGTCTCCCTATCGCACACGGCGCTCCCGCGGCGATATCACGCTCCCCCACAGCGCAGGAGCGGCGAACCCCGTCGGCCTCACGCCTTTCGTGACGATGCATCTGCGTTGCTGTGCTTTTCTTTGTGTTTTATTTTTCTGAGGCGCGTCCGCTTTGTACCTTGAGGGGTCCCGCCGTCTTCCGTGACGAAGCATCCGCGTTGCTGTGATTTTGGCCAATAGAAATTTAACTGCCGTTTCGCTGCTACAGATGGTTACAGACAGCGCCGGCTTCGCTTCATGGGACAGTTAATATATATATATATATATGTGCGTGTGTGTGTGTGTGTGCGCGCGCGTGTGCGTGTGTGTGTGTGTGTAAGAATCATCTGACCAGTTAGGAATGGCCAATGATACATCGTATATGCTCGCCAATGAGGAAAACTCTCGCTTATTCAAGACTTCATTTTGTTTAATGAACAGGAGTAATGGGATAAAGACCATGTTGCACTCCGGTAAAATAATACAATGGCGTGAATACTAATTAATTAAAATTGTACATTACTTTTGGCCAAAGGACGAGCTCGAAGAAAATCAACTGACCTCTCCTCCATCCTTGGTCCACTTGAGCACCGATTCGTCATCCCCGTAACAGCCAGCACCACTGATCACCAGGGACTCATCCTTACACCTAAAATATTAAGGGCGGATTGAGCTGGGCAATCTGCTATACAAACTAAGCGACTAAAACAGAAGTAGAAGAGACTAAAAAACCCACCTGAGTTCCAGAAGACTTCGAATGGCCTTGTCGGAAATCTTGAGCTTCTCCTGCAGCACCAGTTCATACCCGTAGGGAGGGTCGATGCTGCTGAAGGACACGTTGCTGCCGAGGTCACTGCTCAGATGACTTACGTCGTACGACGGCACCTCGGGCCAATCGTTGGTCGCCGCGCCGTGCGTCGTCGTCGAGTCCCCGCCGTCGTCGTTTTCGGTAAAATGTTCCAAGGCCCCGGTCTTCTCCTCGACACTCAGATAAACGCTGGGCACCTTCACCTTCGCCGCTGGCGTCGACGCGTGCCCCCCCGCGGCCTGCGTGCCTCGAAACGTGGGGAAGCAGTCGTCGTTGTACTGCACGAAGAAGTCGTCAAAGTCGTAGCTGTCGCTCGTCACCGAGGAACTCAGCGTGTCCCGACTGAGCCAGGTCGGGAGGCAGTCGGCGCTGGAGTTGCGGCGCTTCAGGAGTTGATAGTGCAGGTTGCCCCAGGAGGGTCGCTTCACGAGCCCCGGAAGTTCATCGATGGCCGAACAGCTGTCCGTTGTTTTGAGGCTCCACTTGCGCGCTTCCCGACTGCACAACTCCGTGACGGGACAGATGCTCGCTTTTTCCGACTTGGCGTCCGGGGATTCCCCCAGGCCGTTCTCTGGCGACGACGCGAACACATCGACGACGCTGGAGTCTCCGTGGCCATTCACCCGAGTTTCGTCTGGAGTCTGGACGTCCTGGACCGTGTCGTCGTCGGTCAAGCTCTTTGGGGAAGACGAAAGCTGTTCGGTGGACTTGCGCATGACGGTGCTGAAGGAGTACTGACTGCCGCTGGTATCGTTCACGTTGTCATCACTCCTGCTCTCCGCTATGGCTGACGTGGTCGTCATGGCGGCCATCGGGGTCAGATAACCGCTGTCATTGCAGGCCCTCGATTCTAGTTCGTTATTCGAACCAAGGTCGTAATTATTGACAGGTTGCACCTTGAAACAAAATAGAGAAAAACAGTCGCAAACGAAATTAAATTAGGTTAGTCAAGTCAAGCCGCGAAAGAGTGTCCGGTCCCTATCTTTGTAATGGCGTGCACAGCCGTCTGACGTGCTGTTAAAACAGAGCATGAGCCGGACACGGGAAGAATTAAGCAGTAAACGGACCGTTGACCATTGAAATGTAAAAATTACGAAAACGAAACAGGCATATAGAAGACAATACAGACGGCCCGTGTCGTCTGCATTACATTCTATGTTCCTCTTTCGTTTTCGTTATTCAGACACCAACACGCTAACCCGTCCACATTCAGATGTCCCTGGCAAATAGTGTAGCTCATCACAGAATGCATTAAGCGCCGCATTAAATCGGTACCTCCCGTTGACGAGCAGAAATGAAAACTACATATACTGCTTACAAAAGGTGCCGTCGAAGGCATTCCTTCGGTGCTGGAGTCTGTCTTGAAGTCACTGGTGGTCGCACGAGGGACGACGTCATAAATGACGAGGAAGCCTTCGGCAGTCCCAACCAGAACGCTTCCAGGCAAGGGAAGGACAGCCGTGATTCGTGCCTGGTTCAGTTCACCTTCTTCGTCCTGCTGTTAGCCGCGCCGAAAAGACACGAGACATAGTGCCGTCAGAGTAGGAAGAAAATAATACAGTTGTGGGTAGAAACGATTCAAATGTCTACAACTCCACAGCCTGCAGCGTGAGCTTGAAGATCAGCAAAAATAGCAGCCAATTGAGCTAAACACAGAACCAGCTCACTGCCAAATTGCTATCTCATCGTTAACACACTCACGCCCAAAAACATAAGTAAAACTCTCTCACACTATATTCCTCGCTGGTAAAAAGGAACTCACGCCCGCACTCGCCCCGTCCTCACTAACCCTCATCTAAAAGAGCACCGCGCCAGAAGACGGAGGAAGTGAGGGTTAAAGGGGCAGTGCAACGATTTTATGATTAATAGAATTTGCATCTCGTCATTTTTGCGTTGTTTATCGTGTCCCAGAGGATCGAGAAAACACTTCCTTCATTAAAAATGTCGCGATTCCACTGCATAATCGCAAAGCAAAAGTCGAGCTTTTTCCCCGACCTGCAGCCCCAAGTGGCAGCCGAAGGAACTACGGCGGAAAGATTACGTGACCTCGCTCGGCTCTAAGCTGCAGCATAGCGCCCGCTAATGTACGCAGAGAGAGGGAGGGGAAGCGTCCTCCGAGATAGCACACGGGAAGCTACACGGCACTCCGAATGACGTCACTGGGAGTGCGACCAGGTGTGACCCTGAAGACTGGGAGTGAGTTGAGGGGTGCCCGAAATACCAATCTTTATCTTTTTTTTACGCAAAAACTAGGACACGCAGGCGAAATCGGTTTTCTGTTCTTTACTTCAGAAGTGTCAGGGGGCAACTTCCAGAAATCTTTGACCGAAGTCCGAAAATCGTTGCACCGCCCCTTTAATGAGGGTGGGTGAGGAAGACTCCGAAAGTTAAGGTTAGTCTGTGTAAGTGAGCACAATCATGACTGAGTATTTTTTTTTGCCCATAGTGATTGGTATAGATTTAAACTGTTCACGGTAGGACCCCCTCCCAAATACTTACTCTGCGCAAGGTCCAAGGGCACTAAGGGCGCCACTCTCATAAAGAAACTCGCGTGCATACCTCCTTACATCCGTGCGCGACATTTTGTAATGCTTTCTTATCGTCTATGCTCCGTGTTATCTTACGATGGGCCGCAGAGAATGCTATACGAGCCATCGGAGCCAATCCCAAACCGCTTTAGTGTCACATGACCTTGGGAAAGGGAGATCACGCAAGGGGCGCGTGGTGACGTGACGCGTTCACAGCACCGGATTGGCCGGGATGGCTCGTAGCGTTAAGCTGTGGTCCATCATATGGTGAAACGGAGTAGAAGGATTTTTCACCGGCGGCCATATCCGAGTCTGCGGCTGCTGAGCGCGTGCTGTCGGCGAGCATCCCAGTTCGTTTGCAACGTGCATCCGCACCGCCAAGATTGCCGGTTTTGACAGCCATTCGTAAGAGTCAAGTCGTTCTGAGCATGCGCAGTGAAAAAGACACTAATATGGCGTCTAGAGAATACCCCCTACATACAACGTCCACCCTTAGGCTGAGACCGCAGCCAAGGCCACAAGCATGAGAGCTCGATGTCGCTGCTTTGAAGCGCATCTCTGAAAGCCAAAAGCGCGGGCTAGCTCGCGCTTGTAGCTTTGGCTGTAGCAGCAAGACGCGACTCGGTTTTTAACCGTCAGAGGAGTTATGCTCACCCTAGGCGACCGCGGGTACCTGTCCTCCCTGACGTCGTACAGCATCTTGCAGGTCAGGGTTTGCGAGTCCCAGAGCTGCAAGACCGAAGAGCCTCGGAGCGACAGCCACACGGCCTGGTTGGCGGGGTCGCCGATGGAGCAGGGCTGGATGAGCGAGATGTAGTCCAGACTGCTCGATGAAATTTGGAACTGGTCCACCGTATCGAGAGTCCTGCGGAGACAACGGGACCCGGAGTTTGACGCAGTAATTAGTACGCCTCACCCCTAACACACCCTCCGGCTGAGTCAACCCCCACCCCCACCCACCTCCCTTACAGAATTTCCTACCCATAGTACACAAACTTACAGTAAACGCTCCCCACCCCCCTCCCCCAGCCTCTCCCTGAAATTCGGAAAACTTTTTTCAGATTGACAATCCTGGGTATACCCCTGGCTTGATGCGAAGGAGCTGGTGACGACAAATGTCATGAAAGAGTCAAGAAAAATACCTCCAGAAGGCGTAGCAGCGAAATCTCTATAGTGTGCTATCAGCTTTGCGCCCCCCCCCCCCCCCCCCCCCCGACATTTTCATGATGAACTCCACAAGTGCGTCCGATCTAATGAATAAACGATCCCCATCATAATTACCTAATTCTTTCTTCGTGGATACTCACGGAACCATCCGAATGTACTTATACTCTCCCACTGCCCCCTGTTGTAACCATGGAACGGATTAGGAAATGCACGCACCCCAGTTCCCTTGAAGTTATGTTAGGATGAGTATTTCATTTGTTTTCCTCGTGATGCGTTCATGTACAATGACCATTTTTTTTTTACATGAACCTTTAGTTCCCTCTTGCCCGAAATGAACGAAGTCAACACCTTGTATAGATATCTAAGGGCTGTTAACCTCGTAGACCTGGTTTCAATCCCCACCCCAGCTCCTTTCGATCTGGATCAGCATAATACTGTTGTGCGGTCCTGTATCCCTACTGCGTGGTGCACGTTCAAGACCCCAGGCTCGCGATCGTAATGCACTGGCGAAATTTCTAATCTACTGCTGAGACACCAGGCGCCCATTGAGGACGTACGCGCAACACAATGTTTATATACGAAGCGGACCCGGCTGACCATCTGAACACCTCCCCGTCCTCGTCTACCGGCTTTATTGTGAAAGAAACACTTTGCTGTGAGAAGAGCAAACAAAGACAATACTGTTTCTTTGACTTTACAGGGAAATAATAAAACTAACTCGAGACAAGGAATGACGAACGTATGGTAGTATGGTCCACCTTGCCCCGAGTTTGTTTTATTCTTTCTGCGTCAAGTCAGCTTTACTAACGCGCTTTGCAGCTAATTTAAATACTGTTTATTCTCTGGGTGTGCTCGTATAAGGATGGTCATAGTGTCCTGCCTATTTCTTTGTTTTCAATTAAATTCTTATGCGCGTAGACGCAACCTTTGAGGGCCACAGGAATCAAACGGAACTTTCCAGAAAGTAAATATTTTTATACGTAAAGCACGCCAACTGGTTTATACATGAAGTAGTTATATTTATATTGTTTACGTTCATATTTCAAGTAAAATAAAATGACAAACTGCCTTCTGCGCAACGCTTTCATATTTAGGCATATTTCGGCGATTTTTTTAACACACCTTAAAGTTAAGATTTTATCAAGCTGAAACGTTTTGTACAGGGTACTTCATGATATGTTTATTTTTAACAAGTTAGTATCCGACTATTGGAGGTTCTTTTTGCATTGTGCCCGGAAATTTTATAAATGCCGAAAAAAAAGTCAAAACTGCAATGTGAGCGGCAATTAAGAAAATAATAATCAGCCTGAATTCTTTCCAAACTTCTCTCGTGGACCCTTAAAAGCCGTCAATTCAAAATCCGCAGAAACATGTTGCATTATAATGCCCTAAAAAAAAAAAGTTTAGCCAGTTGATTGTTCCATTCAATTACTGTTGAAAGGTTTCTATCTCAACTACTAGTGGTACTCGAGCGCCTCTAGTGGCCGTACTTGGTCGCATTAGCTCCCAGATTCCATGGCAGATTATACAAAAAACAAACAAAAACCAACTGGAAGTTGTGTGTGTGTGTGTGCGCGCGCGTGCGTGTGTGTTCATGTGTGTGTGTGTGTGTGTGTGTGTGTGTGTGTGTGTGTGTGCGTGCGTGCGTGTGTGTGTGTGTGTGTGTTTGAAGTGATGTGATTGATATTGCCTATGACGGAACTTCGCAGCACGTTCGGCACTTAAGGTGTTCTGCTTGGCTAACCGCTGTGCACTGCGCTACTTTCCCCTAGGTACGTACTGTAATGTGGGTAATCTACTGACAAAATGGTTCGATTAATTTCTCTAGACCTCACTACGATGAAGTGTAACGGACGTTAGGAGCTATCTCAGCCAATTCAGCGCATCAAGTGACACTCACATGGATTGACTTGTGAGGCTTGTGGCACCTTCTGTGGACCATCGTAAGGTAAAACGGAGCGCACAAAAGGAGATGTTATGGAATTTTATGCCCCAACTGATGGCGGGAGCGGCGAGGGCAAAACAATACCAGGTTGCGTCTAAAAAAAATGGACTAAGATCTTATTATTGGACCAGCGTTGCGCCGTCGCGAAAGTGGTGCCTCTGCTGTTTGTAACGCCACTGAACATCTTGTGATGTTTGCACCACACAGCGGAAGGCTCTGTGCAGGCTCAAAAAAGGGGGCTCCACGGAGGAGCTGTATCTCCTTCCTCAATCATATGCGACGCATGGGAGTAAAAGGGTCATAAAAAGAAAACATAGACGACGAAAACCTAAAAAAATATTGTAAAAAACTCTTTTTGATTATTGTCAGAAAATTTTGTTTTTCGGTATTCATCACACGGGTACGTGCCAATATCTGAATGTTGCCAGACAATCGCTCAAAGTGACATTTTTAAGAGATTTTTTTTTATAAAATATAAGGAATGTATTGATAGTATTTAGGACAACTGACCTGTACCCAGACATTGTTTCTCGAGATTAATGAGCTTAATGAGATTAATGTGCAAAGAAATATCCTCGTCGGAATGCTCCAATCCAAAACACGGTTCGGGCTTACGGCATGCGCACTGGAGACAACGTTATTTGTTTGATTACGCAAATCTTTTCCGTGCTGTATTCTAAAATTGCCTAACGTTATTACTTAAAGGGAAACTGAAGCGGTTCTGTATTTGAGTAAGGACACTTAAGTCGTCTTCATTTGGCCTCCAGGCCTCCACTCTCGCGTGTCTTCAGTGCCTATCAAAGCTATGCACGCGCCCTCTCACTATTTTCAAAAAAGAAAAAAAAAAGGTCAGAAAAAAACCTCACGACTGGTGTCAGTATGGGGGAATACATCTGGGCAAGCTTGCAATTGCACGCGCTGCCCACACGAGCGACGCGCGCTTGGCCGCCGAAAGATCCTTTCATGACGGAGCGACTGGTCGGAGGTTCTTCGTATTTTTTCGCGTTTGGTTACATTTTCGGAGAAAACGAACGTGACATTAAAATTCACGGGATAAAAATACTCTAAAATTCACCTCCAACTCGTTTTCTTTTCTTTTTTTTTTAATTTATTTATTATTAAACATGACCACACCGGCAGTGCATGAAACTTTGAGAGACAAGATAGCTCTTCGTGATCTCCGAGTTTTTGTGTGTGTCAGGAGGTTGTATTTTTATTTTTCTATTCAAAAATGTTTTCGGATTTGTTCATAGCAGGGATGGACAAAATACATGCAAATATGTATCGAAATACAAATACAAAATACTTCGTCAAAAATGTGTTTAATTACAGATATATAATTACATTTCCAAAAAAAAAAAAAGCATCTAAATACAAGATAAAATACAACCAAATGTATTTGGCCTCCTCCAAACACTTTTCCAAATACATTCCTCAAAATTTGCGTCAGCGACTTCAGGGCACAACGGGTTTCGGGGTATCTCATTTTAATTTTGCATCGCACACTCGGGAGTTAGTGTGCGAGGCTCTAGTAACGTAATAGAAATATAATCACAAAAAATGTAATCAGCTTGGACGTAATAGGTGAAAAAAGTACAGAGCTTCAAGCAGCTTCTTTTGTCGATTACATTTTGGTATAGACCAACAAAGAACCGAGACGACCAAGATGCGCCGTATACTAGAGAATTTTTTATTGTTGGAACTCGCACGAGTTAGGAAAATCTGGACGACCAACGCATTTAGAATGTTCCAGGCAAACATATGGATGGAAATCAGGCTGAAAACATCACAAGTTGTCACCGGCACTTATTTAGCCAGTCTGCCTGTGAGAGTCGATTTCGTCACTATTCTCGCCCTGGACTAGCACCGTAATCACAAAGTCACAAAACGCTTGTGCTTGATTGAGAGACACTGCATTCGGTGCAGAACGTAGTTTTCTTCCTGCTCTGGACAGTGCCTTTAATATAAAGCCAGAGGAGGAAAAGAAAAAAAGCCCCATGGCCGAATAAAGGATGGAGACTATATCTTACAACCACGTGCATAAAAACAAGATGTATTTTCACCCACAAAATTGTATTTAATTAAAATTGTATTTGAAATACCCACGTATTAGTATGTAAATACACACGCCACATACATTACCCAATTTGTAATTAGATACAAATGCAAAATACACGAAGTATTTGAAATACTGCCCATCCCTGGTTCATAGTATAAATTGGGCTATGACGTGTACAAAATAGCGAGTGAAATAAAATGGTCGACTATTTACCCACTGTTCAGTTTCATCTGAAATCAACACACACCGTGGTATTGGGTGGTTTCAGCCTTCGGTTGCGTGGTGTAAACATCACCCGATGTGCAGTGGCGTTACAAACACCAGAGGCATCGCTTGCGTGACGGCGCAACGCTGGCTCAATGACGCTACCTAGCTCTCCACTCCGTCCTTATTTATATCCATCGTAATTTGAAACGGAGTATAGGGATGTCTAGATAAATTAATATAATCATTTTGTCAGTAGACCATCCACATTACAGTATTACACTGGGAAATTAGCGCAGTGAAGCGCAATCAACCAAGCACAACACCCTATGGAGAGAATGCGCAGCATAGTTCAGTTTTCGTAAACAACATCAACCCAATGAAAAAAAAAATCTCGCAGTTTTTTTTTATAAATATTGGTGTGTTATGGTGTTTAGGAGATAATACGACCAAGTAAGGCCACTGTGAATGCGGGGCTCGAGTAATACTA